TCTATGAAATAATGTCACTTGCTCCCATGACAAAAATAAATTCCTCGTACTTGTTGAGGTGATAGCCTCTGGTCGAAGTCTTCCCTGGAGACAATCTGGGGCATAGAATAAGGTGTCCAGCTTTGCTAAACTATCAGTTATTTAAGTTAATATTTTTAAGTTAAAATTCGCAAGATTTTATTTTTGTGTGTTTCGGCTATCGGTATCGAAATCTTAAGTTCAGGTCTCTAATTAAAGAAAAAAAAGAAATTGCCCACTAGAAAATTTGTTATCGTTTTCAGTATTTTCTTTGTTTTCATTAGAGATATTGACTAAAAAAAAAAATAGAAAACACTGTAGATTTTTATTAACCATTTATTTTTTTGTATTTGTTGATTATTTTATGGTATCCCAACTACCAGCTAAGCAAACTAGGTATTCTCCCTATATTCTCTGCCAGTGTGTCAGTCAGCCAGCAAGTAAGAAACAATTATCATTTTCATCACGATACAATGTTTTGTTTTTCAAGTTTTGCTTACTATGAGAAAGCTTATTTTTTATTTACGTTTCATCAGCAGTTTTTTTTATAATTCCTATTTTGAAATTAAATGCATTTTTTGTGAGCTACTGAATTGCAATTTGTCAACTAATTGATGTTACACCATTTCCAGCGGAGGGATAAACGTTTAAGAGGAATAAAAATATCTAAAAGAGCGACATGAGAATTCCAGCAACTGATTGATACAAATTTATCAACATATATAACGACATCGTTATATATGTTGGTGATAATGACGGTCCTTTATTTCATTTCACTTATAACGAATATCGTTTATAGGGACCAATTTTACCGGACCCTTGGCCGTCGTTATAATCGATTTCAACTGTATTTTGTATTTCCTTGGATCTGACAGGTATATTTTAATATAATCCCACTCAGATTCATTGTCATTCATGATACCACATATCTTTAAATACAAATCTTCGTCACTTTCCAAAACCGCTAACTACCTCCCTCCCTCATTGTCGTCATTGTCTCACATTGACCTTACATTATCCGCATTACTTACACATTGCACTTATGTTTAACACACAAAACATCATTTTCATTAACATACTGACAACAATGATATGGTTTAGTATGTCAAATGACAATTTCAACAACAGCAGCAACAAAAAACAATGAGGGGTTTGAAGTTAATCCGTTTACGATATGTTTGCAACACCAACCAACAACAACAGTTACATTATACACAGTTAAATCTGTTGTAAATAATAGTTGAAAATAATTGCTTTAATTCGGAGACGTCATTGTTTTATTTTTAGGTTTATCATTTTGCAGTTTTTTGTTTTGTTCAAACGTATTTGTGGTGGTTGTGCGACCTGTACGAATAACGACGGACAACATCAACAACACTATGACTATATCAAATATCATTGCAGGGTATTCATTGTTTAGCGCTTGCCGCTTACTGACTGTCTACTAATGTTTGAGGGACAGTTCAATGGGCCTACATGAAACTACACATAAAATCGTTTATAGGGCAGAACTTTTTTGAGGTACTTTTGGATACCGTGTATTTCGACTGCTTTTTAAAATTTGATTTTTTAAGAAGATTGCCTCAAGGACTTTCCAATGACTAACATATCATGGCTACATACAGACAGTCATTGAATTGCTGCCCTGAAATTGATGACATTTGCGGGAGGCTGAACCACTATCTCGTGGACATTGCAGACTTTTTCCGGTCGAGGAATATGGAAATATCCTCGTCTAAGTCAAGGTTCTAGAGGTCACATTCGATAGTCTTTATTCAAGTCGCTAGCCGGCATCAGTTGGGGAGCTGACAAAGAAACCTTGTTAACGATATACACAGCAATAGGCCGATCTGCGGTTAACTATGCGGCGCCATTGTGGTCCGCTAACATCAGTACAACGCAGAGGAAAAGTCTTCAATCCTGCCGCATCATGCCGTCCTGAGGACTGCAACAGGGTGTCTCCTTATGACTCCAATAGACAACTTACATGAGGATACGAATATCGATGCAATACCTGCTTGGGTTTTATAGAAGTAGCCATCCAATTCGTTACCTAATGGATAGGCACCCACCACCTAGGCATGTCAGGAAGGGCCTCCATGAAGGGCCTCCAAAGGTACAAAAGAGATCCTCTAAATCAACAGGCCTATCAAGCAGAGAGAGAGAGATATGTCAGAAAGGATCTTTGAACTGGAGAGAGAGACAAAAAGGAAGTCTCTAGATCAACAGACCTATCAAGCAGAATGTGAATGACCTGGAGAGAGAGAAAGAGAGAGAGGTCCAACGGAACAAAAGGAAGTCTCTAGATCAACAGACCTATCAAGCAGAATTGAATCGTATTCACACAAATGCAGTTGAGGAAGCAATTCGAGAATATCGTGTGAATACAATCCTCGGAGATCACCCGCCTACTATAGCTGCAGAAGAGCAACAGCTACCTCGACAAACCAGAGTGGTCTTGGCGCAATTAAGATCAGGATGGTGTATCCGCCTCAATTCAAATTGGGCACGAATTGACGGAGAGGTCGATAATATCTGCCCGACATGTGGTAATGAACCATATGACATGCTACACCTATTCAACTGCCCAGCCAAACCCACTCACCTAATCCCATCTTCTCTTTAGACTTCCGGAACTTGGAGTTAGAAGCAGAACCAGATTAACGAGATTAAGATGAAATACACAGCAGTGCAAGCTGCTACAACAAAACTGAGGTTAGGACCTCAAACGTGAGGCAGAGCTAAATGCTATGGGTCGCAGTTGTGGATAGTGCACAATAACATTTATTGGATATCTGTGAATTTAAATAATTAAATCAACGGGTTTTTGGCCTAGTCACAAGAAAATTACCTAATATCAATATCAGCTGGGCGAGAATTGGGAACCTAATTATCAACGGAGGGGTGTTATGCGATCACGTGCCAATCAGTGTTTCATGGTTTGCAGTCAGGGCACCGACATGACTTTAAACATAGCCTTATTGATAGCTGAGCGCCTCAAAAAATGTTTCAGGCTTAGTTGATAAGTCCTTACTGTGTGGTTCGCGGCTATATCATTGCTGGCCTCAAAATCCTTACACAAAGAACTTTTATGAAGCCCTTTTTTATCCCTACCCCTTCATTTTCTACAAACAAAAACAACAATGAATGTTTCGAACTCTACAAGATCAAATTAAATTCTAAATTTAAATTTCGCAATGTCATCAACCACTGCTAATGAGCCACCGGACCTTTCTTTTGATATTCCCAAACCTATTACCCTAGTTGACACAGCCTGAAGAGACAGACGATCATATCGAGGAAACTCATCTCTGGCATGACTTACTTAACCTTGACGAACGAGAAGGGCGCTATGGACATCACTGTTAAAACAACGGTTATTCAAAGGGATCCTCTAAAACAAGGTGAGCCATCAAAGGTGATGAGAGGGGCGCAATTACTGGCGAGGATAGAAACCTCATATCCATGGCAGTCTTGAAGTTCCACGACTTCCCAGGCAAATGACCCTTGAATTTTTTGTAGCAGCCGACAATTGGCTGAGTAGACAGATATCTGCCGAGTAAAACTCGAATCGCTTAGGTGGATATATGTGCTTATGACCTTCCCATCGAAGCGACGGGTGAATCATTCGCACAAGTAACCACAATACGTATCACTGTCAAAGAAATATCTGACAAATCTACCGGAGAACGGTTACTAAATGTTGAGAAGTCTTTGACACCATCTTCCACTGCAAAAGAGGGTAAGGTAGTGTCGAAGTCGGCTAAAAGGGAGCCCATAGAAAGGCGGCTATAAAACAACTCCCTTATGAAAAGACTCCTGCGGCAGATGCAACGTGGGATACCGAAACTCTAACACAAACAGTGACTGTGAAGAGGATGCGTTCTTCGGATGAGCAAAAACCTGCTGCGATGAGATCCACGCAGCCGCATTGATGTACGATACACTGCTTCGTATGCGTCGGTTACGTCGACGAAGTCTCCTGAAGAAGAGAACATTAAATCTATCTCCGAACATAGCGACGAGTGGCGATCATTGATCAGGCTGACCCCGTTGAGAGCATTACTGAAGGATCTCTTCCTGAAGTTGATCGTTAGAACTTTCATTGATCGTCAGAACTTTTCCACAGGCTACATTAATTTTTTTCCAAATGACTATCGATTGAGAAATGCAATTATCTGGCCAAACCTGTATTGCATGTTAAAGCTTTTTTAACTTTACCGTATATACATATGTATATAAATAAGTAAAATAAAAAAGTATTGTACGGCAACATATGGATAGAATTACAATTTTTGTATTGTGGTTGGTTGGTTGTGTTGTCGTGGTTTACAATATTTTGGTATTGTGTGCTGCGCATGTTGAGGGCCAGTATTGTACCGCATTCGCTAATATATTTTACTTTTTGAAGGATTTTCCGCAAACACCACCATAAATTTCCGTATCGTAGAAGACACCACCTGTGGTTTACAACCCAAGCAATATTACAAGAAAGCCTTGGTATTGACTTTTCAAGTAATTTCAATGATGATTGATGTTGTTGGAAATTTAAAAGAAACAACAATCCAAAGAATGATTGGCTTTTTATGTAAGGTCTTAGAAGCTACAATATTTCTAACAACACTTGCTATTGGAAAAATACTATTTGTTAAAAGCAAGGTTTAAAGATGGGATATGGCAATTGAGCCAGAAAACTATTAAACTCGTTCAGCTATGAATAAAAATACCGAAATACGAATATAACAGGCACCCTAAAAGTAATTTGTTAAATCCACGCATATGAAGTCATTGAAAAAACTTTTTGAAAAAATCCCTTAGTCATTAAAATGTTAAAAAACCACGCCGGGATAGTAATCTATGACTTCCTAATGTCTATCAACATCTTCGTTGTAATATATATACTAGTAGATAGCTTACCTACAATTAGGATTAGTCGGATTAAATAAAAAAATATTTATTAAAAAATATAAGTATGTACTTACCCGCAGTATTTTCCTGTTGAAATTCAAAATATTTACGCGATTCTCGCTGAAAGAATTCAATGAAATCTTTTTTATCCAATGTACCGGCTAAATATTTAACACGCCAATCTTTTAGTGGTGATTCTGATGTTGTGGTTGTTGGGGCAACAACCTCATCCTCAAAGCTATCCATGATGATGTTGTTTGTTAAAGAGATCACAGAGGATTGTGTTGGTGCTTATGGTGAAGACGAAGAAGGAGTTGGTTTTCGTGGTGCTGTTGATGACGTTGTTGATAATGGCGATAACGTTTGTGGTGACGTTTTTGTTTTTATTGCAATTGCAGTACTTTCTTGTGGTTTATTTTTTAAGGGTTAGATATTTTTTCTTTTAAATTTCCCCTTGATATTATTTTGGTTGCAGTTGTTTTAATTTAAAGTGTCACTTGTGTTGACAAATTGTGCGACGATATTGTTGTTCATTTGAATTTATTAATTCCACACATTTATTATTATTATTTCTTGTTTTTGTTTATTTTATTATTTGTACGGAAATTCAATGTTCTTTGTTCTTGTTTTTACACTTCTGTCATTCTATTTTTTTTTTTCTTGTTTTAAGCGGCAGCTGTAATGAAAATGGAAGGAAAAAATTATAAGCAAATGGGATAAGAATGATTGTGTGTTACTACTATAAAAGCTTTTTGAAAAAAATGTTTCATATAAAAGCGAACAAGTAAATACACCTACAACATGAGGTGTCGTTTTCTCTGTTGTGGAAACGATCTGAAAAAACCTAGGTCTCACTCCGCAGACTACAACAGAAACATGTGGGGTGGGGGCTACATCATAAAATGAAGATTCATTGAAAATTTGGCACCGATGCATAAAAACTGGTATGGTCGATTTAAAAGTCAAAGTGAGCCTCTGAAAGAGTACCCTAGAATTCTCCTGGAAGTCAAATACCACGAAACAATCCTTGACCACCATTAAAGATTAAAAAGGTACTTCCAAGGCATTTAGTGAAAGAAACTTTTGTACGAGATAGGCAATGTACATAGGTATGCCGTTTTTGTCTTCCCTCATTCCCTGCATTTGCTGCTTTTTGTGTAAATGTACTTGCAGGCTAAGGTGTCCTGTGTGAACATAAGGTACGTTCTGATAATTTTCCATTGGCTAAGCAATAAAATTTTTAGTCTAAGGTATTGTGAGGGACTCTTTTACACATGACCTCCGTCTTTCGTATTAGAAAATATGGATTGTACAGCGTGTATGTTTACTCTGGGTATACATAGTCCGGTCCGGTGACGTTTTCAGTGCATGAAAATGGTATTTTTGGTCTTCAGGGAAACCGATTGAAATTCTTTAGGATTTTTTGAATTTGCATGTTTTAATACGATTGAGCATTGTCATTGACAAAATAGAGGACACATTGCAACGAAGTTTAGCTGAATCTCGATATTTAATTGTGGATTCTCCCAATCACTTGAAAACTTATTCTCTATTTCTAAAGTAGAAGAAAAAAGTATTATGTATAAATTGATTTTTATTTCAAATGTTAAATACCTTTACTCAATGCCTAGGAACATGAAAAATTCACGAACGATATTTATTTCTCATTTAAATTAGTTAATATCTTGAAATTTTGAATAAACAAGTTAACAATTTAGACAATTTGACTATAAAAATCCAAAATATCACTACTTTTCTTTGATACAGACACAAATCAGCTGTTTTCTCTGTCTGACAATTGATGTAAAAGGAGGAAAGAAAATATGACAATCAGGGTTGCCATCTTAATGAGCATACACAGCAAAGAAGGAAGGAACGAAAAAAATGCAACGATGTTTTATTAAAGGTTTAAGTTGCGATTGTTTCTTTTAATATTTACAAAAAGTTTTCACAACAAATAAATTATTCTATTCCCACATTTAAATTGTCAATAAATCCACATAGAGCATAACATTGCATGTTCTTTTCATTTACAATTTAACAACTGAACTCACAAAGGAACACAAACACTCGTACACACACACACACGAATTCTCACAGTTGCATAGAGGAGAATAAACAGTACTCAGCTGACGTCAACGGTGGCGCAGCTGTTACACAAAAAGAAACAAAACAGAAGGAGGAAAACAACAAATAAAAACAGCAGCATTCAGACACACGATGGAAAACATGAAAGAATAAAAACAACATGCAACAAACATAACAACCAAACGACTCCAACAACAAACTATGACAGTAGCAACACTCTTGACTTTTATTTTTTTTTTGTTATTTATTCCATCGCAAAAATAAAAAAACATTTGCAATATATACCATGGACAAAATTAAACATGCATAATTTACATTTAACGTGAAACAAAGCAAACACAAAAATAACAACAATAATTCCACTGACTAAACCTGTCAGAAAGACTTCATATATGGTTTGCATTTTTTTTGCTGCTGCTTTCATTGTTGTTTTTGTTATATGTTAATATCAAATCAGGTTCTTCCAAACAGAAATATAATGATGAAGGTCGTGACTTTTTGTTTCATCGTTATGGGTTTTTTTGTTATAAAAAAGCTAGACAAAACAAAACCAGAGAATTTGTCATTAACCCACAAAAGTGTGATTCTTTAAGCATGGCGAAGCAAAATACAATCATGATTGATTTTTTTGTTTTTGTTACAACCAAGTATACTACATATGGTAATTTTGTTGTTGGTATTGTTTTTTGGGGAAGATATACAAAAACCAAAATGAGAGATGACAGTGTCATCCTCTCAATTCCACCGAAAGTGCATGCAACGAAATAGTCTTTCTCTTTTCCTTTATTACATATTGCATTTTACATCTCAAAAGCCCCAATAAGTGGGGGGTGAGGGGCCAAATTAAAGGGGAAGCAACAACAACTGCACATTATACCAAATATAGGCGGCGCATGCAACTAGCCTAGCCGCTAGCCAACGGAAAAATTTTACATTTTTTTTCAAGTAACAAAATTTCCTTTGTTTTTCCAACAACAGTAAACACGACGTCTTTGTACAGCAGCAGCAGTATTGTATCAAAGTAAATTAATTTCATCGATTTTAAATACATTGTAATATTTCCTTCCTTTCTTTTATTCATTCTCAAAACACACAAAAATTCCACACAATCATTTTTATCATCATCGACGTGTTGTGGCCCGCACTCTTCTTCTTTGTATTGTCGACAATTTTTTTATAGGCCAAACAAAAAATTAAAATACGTCACGAAATGATCCAAAAATTATTCACTTTTGATTTTTAATTTTTTGTGGTTATGTCTCACAATATACGGCTCCATAAAAAAACAACAATAACAAAATTAATTTATTGGCGAAATGTAAGGTAGGCCAGCCATAGGCATACCATTTTTTCGGGTTTTTTTATTGGTCAACACTTGTCATCAATTTCACTTTTATTTGTTTTTTTGTTTTCCTTATTTTGTCAAAATTTGTTTTTTTCTTTATTTTATATTCATCATTTTGCCTTTATTTCTTTTTATCACTATATTTGCTTGCTTCCTTGCCACTACTGGCTACTGCTCTTTCTTTATTTTCTTACTTTTTTATACACACACACACTCAATCAGCTTTTCTTTTCGTTTTTGCAGTAAAGAGAAGGAAATACTTGAAAATTTTCGTTTCAACTTTTGCGTATTTACTTGAATTTATAGCAGCTTCTTTCCTTTGCTTATAGATTTCTTCTTTATGCTGCGTTTCCACTTTTTCTCACATTAATTTTGCCTTTCTTTTTCCTTTTGTTTAACACTCTTAAATTCCTTTTGAAATTTGTCGAAAACTCCACAATATATATCTATATTGCGAAACAATCTATCGCAATATATACAACAAAAAATATATATATTTACTTCCAATTGGAAAAAATGTATCGCGTTTACGGACAGAATTAAAAAATTAAACTGAGCTAGTAAACGGAGAGAGAACAAAGTCGAATGAATTGTTGGAAGCGTTGGACGTATTGATTTTTCATCGTTATATAACGGCGTTGGCTGAGTTGTTGGGCTGTGTGGTGAGAGGGATTAGTTACATACGTAAACGTAACGTATGTTGGGGAAAACAGCTGTTTTGCACAGATGGGATGTTTGTTAAATAATAAAATAAATAAAAAGTATAATGTTACGTTCTTGGACTTCACTTATTCCCGTGTAGACGTTGTTTTATTTCCCGATACAGTTCGTACAAAATAAAACGCGGGTTCGTTCTGATTACGATTATTACAATGATTTTATTCACACAACTTTACTTTGCACTTTACTTTACACGACGGTTTCAATTCGCGATCTGATTCACAACTCACTCACTGCCTTTCCATTCCCTCTATTTATATGAGCCCTGCCTGTCGCTACAGAAGTTTCTAGACGATCTGGTAACACCTAGATCACGAACAATCTACCAATGCAACAAACACATTGAGTAACAATAACAACAACAAACTTACTGAGTGAACAATAACAACAACAAACTTGAGTAAACAAACTTACAATAACAACAACACATATACAGGCGAGGGAATAACAAAGAAAGAGGAATGACGTTTAACAAGAATTGTACGACAATAACAAAATAGAAAATGAAAGAGGAAATGGAAGGATGTAGAAAAATCTATACAGTAGTTGTTGTTGTGAAGTTATTCAAATAAACTGCGTAGTACAAATTTACGTTACAATTCAAATTCTTAAATTAACGGACTTTATCTAAATTTATATTCGTAACATTGCCCCCCGCTTAAGCCTGTTCGTCCCGAATAGGCACAGTTCCCGTTCCGTAGGGGGTCAGCCGCTCCAAATGTACAACTTTCATCTTCGACCTGGGACTGTCGCTCCTCTGGATGCGATAAACGACGTCATTTATTTTCGTGACAATCTTGTAGGGTCCTTCCCAGTGCGTTTGCAATTTGGGGCATAGTCCTTTCTTTCGTTGTGGGTTGAACAATAGTACCAGTTGCCCTTCTTGGAACCCATCGGTATTTGCCGCTCGATCGTACCTTGCCTTCATGCGGTTGCTAACCATTTTTATTCGATGTCGGACTGCATCGTGGACTTTACTAAAAGAGTTTTGGCTGTCTTCATCTTGGTTCACATCGTCGTTTGGGGTAGCGCCGAATATCAAATCGCCAGGTAGCTTTAATTCATTTCCGAACAGAACTTTGGCTGGGGTCCGGGATGTGGAATCATGAATGGCCGATCTATAAGCCAATAAAAACTTTGGAATATG